TGGGTGAACAAAAGGTGTGGCTCCTCCTATGGTGCAGTGAAAAATCAGTGCTGCACAGGAACGTGCCTGGAATTTGTTTTTACACGATTTGAAGGTTATAAAAACTGGCCTGTCACCTTATTTGTAGTTTTACCTGTCAACAGCAATATCTGCAATATACCATATGTAATTGTAGTTAACTGGCATAGCTAGATCTGCGGAATATAGAAACAATATAGTAATAAGACTGGATATATAATATAATGTTGACTGCAGACTCACTTTGTTAGGTGCACCTGTTTAACTGCTTATTAATGCTGATATCTAATCAATCACAGTGCAGCAACTCAGTGCATTAGGCATTTCGACATGGTTAAGATGACCTGCTTAAGTTCAAACTGAGCATTGGAACAGAGAAAAAAGCTGATTAAAGTGACAACGCATGGCTGTTGGTGCCAGACAGACAGCAGATATTTCAGTAACTGCTCATCTACTGGGATTTTCCCATACAGTCATTTCTAGAGGTTACAGAAAATGTTCTGAAAAAGAAAAAAAATTCAGTGAGCAGCAGATCTCTGTGTAAAAATACCTTTTTGATGTCAGAGGTCAGAGTGTGAGATGAATGCTATGCAGAAGAGCATCTCTGAATGCACAACACCTCAAACGTCAAAAGCAGATGGACAGCAGCAGCAGAAGACCTCACCGGTTGTCACTCCTGTCAGCTAAGGAAAGGAAACTGAGGCTGCAATTCACCAAAACTGGTAAGGAACATTATGCAGGATGGGTCCATGAGTCCTCCATTAGACACTTAATTTCCTTCATCCTGGTGTTTTCTTCTGCTGCAGGTTGTGGTTTGTTTTTTTGTTTTGTTTTGGGTTTTTTTGGAGTTTCTGCATATTCAAAACCTGTCACACACATCTCCGGTAATTTCAAGCACTGTACAGCTCATTTAAGTTATAGAGTCTGATTGAAAAACAAAGGCCAGGGCAACATTTCCTTAATATTAGCTGGCAAACGATCACCAACATTTCTAATGGGGGTAATCAACCCCTGTGTCCCCACTGAAATCCCCACATATGGCAAAGGCATTTTCTTCTTTCCACATTGCTTAAATTTCTGTGTCACACGTCATTGAGTAGAAATAGCCAAAATACACATTACCTGTTCAGTTATATTTTATCGCTGTACGCTTGGGTTTGGGTAGGTAATAAATCTTGTTCTGCAATTTATAACAGTATTTTGCCTGAAAATTCAATGCATTCGGTCTTAAAAATGGAGATAGATTCACTTAGGTTTCTGATTCTTTTGGAGAGCATTCCCCCGGGAGAGCAGAGGCTGTCAAAGCAGCAAAATTATTACCGGAGAATTTTCCACTGACATGTTCTGCCATTGTGTGCGGGTGGAGTGACTCGGGCGTAATCAGGCCTGCTGTGGAAGGCGAGATGCAAAAGAACAACTGCGAAAGAGTAGCATCCGGTTTAATTTTTTTTTTTTTTTACATTTATTCTCATCACAGCTGTACAGGAATGCATCGTCACAGCAGAAACACAACCTAAACCCAACCAACATGGCACAACAGCCGTCACAACACATCCAGAACTCAGACCAGAAGCTCACCTCAATGCCTACAGCCATTATCGTTATTGTTATTATTAATAGTATTCACATAGATCCATCTGTCTCTCAAATATATCATCTTTGTTTTCAAAGAGCATAAAAATACAAGTGGACTCTTCATTGGGGGATGAACACTGGTGGTTGATCCACTGTCTGGCTAACACTGGGGGGGTTTGAGGGGGAGGGCTTTGAGTGGGCCACTAAAAACCAGGGATTCAAGGAGGAGCAGAGCCAACTTATTACAGCTTACGGGGGGCTTACATGGACTGGTTTTAAATGGGGTAGACAAGCTGACTAATTTTAGAGGTCATATATAGAAGCTATTCAGACATCACAGACACAAAAGGGCTTGTAAGGAACCCAAAAACCCCAATAAATATGTTAAAGTATGGAACAAAAACCAAACAAACCAAAAAACTGAATATATGAAGAACACTACGAAGGCACAGAGAGATGTAGAGTTAACAAACCAGACACAGAGGGAGATTGTAAAAAAACAAAAAGTGGGGGAGACGAGATTCAAGGTGGGCCAATTAGAGGCAGTTTCACTAACCAACACTAGAGGGAGCCATAACAGCTCAAATACCCAGGTATACTATAAACTCTATGTATGTATACTGGATGTACTATATAAAGCATTGAAATATAGGTTTATCTTTTATAAACACTGTTCACTGCAGCAGGACAAAGGGATATACCGCATGAGTGTGCTTGTAAATATTTATATATATATATATAATATATGTTCATGTGTGTGGTGTGTGTATGTGTGTGTGTGTGTGTGCAGATTTATTTTCAAGCAAACCTCCGCAGCTGGAGTTAACCGCCAACAAAGCTGAAGACTAGCAAGATGTAATAAGTGTGTGCATGTGTGTGTGCGTGCGAGTGTCTCAAAACTCATGGACACACATCTATATCATCTTTCTGATCATTACAACAACTACTGTACGAGAGGGAGGACACTGACGTGAGCATCAGCAGGGACTACACACGACGACGACAACGGCAACGGCAGCAACAACAACAACAACATGAACAGAGACGACACACAGGGAGTCAGGAAGTCCGGCTAACCATAATCCTCCACTGGAACAGAAGAGAAATAGAGGCTACGAGTTGACTGGAAAAATGCATCCTTTTGACGCTGCAGGAGCGAATCGGGCTCAGAAAGCGGCCCGCCTCTCTCCCCGTGTGCTTTTATAAATCTTCTCAGACGTCTCATCAGTATCTACCTCGTCTATCTATGTATCTAGCTATCTATCTATCTATCTCCCTGTCAGACGGATAGTGTGCTTATTTCGCAAGCAATATGCTTATCTGCTGTCTCCCTGTCTGACTGAGTCAGCATGTCGGTCCAAGTCTGTAGAGATCAAAGGATGAGGAAAATGATTGTGCTTCTCATGGTTCACACAGCCATCTGAGGCCGGGTGGCAGCGGAGGCGGCGGCGGCGACATGCTGAGCTGCAGAGGTCAGAGGTTGTGTGGGAGCGGCCTCCTTGCACCAGGAGGCGTACTAGAGCTACTGCACCAGACAAAGAGGACCCCCCCGCCCCCTCCCCTCGTCAGTACTGTACAAGGCTACATGAGAAAGCGCTCACGCACGCACGAGGGGGCGCACGCTCGAACACACACTCTCCGCGCCGGCACTGAGCCTTGGGAGAGTTTTCTTACACCTACGCATGATGAGGGGGGAGGCGAGGGAAAGGGCTTGTAGGAAAAGGAGATGCGTGCAGCAGATCAGTCCAGCATCGCATCCAGTTGGTCTGCCAAGTCGTCAAACATGCTGCCAATGTCGTCCAAGATGGAGACTGTTGCTTTTTTTCCGGAGAGAGAGCTAGAAGTTGGGCGAGAATAAAAGAAGGGTTCGGTTAGTGCTGAGGCATACAGCAAAGAATCAGAGATGGAAAGTGGAGGGATTTGAGAGGATGCAAATATCTAACAGTGATCGCACATTAGCTTCTTTGAATGACCTTCTGTGACCTAAGTTGTCACCGGTGATGACCTCTAACCCCAGGCAATAAGAATATGTGAATTTTGTTTGTTTGTTTTTGTTAAAATTTTAAGTTCAAGATAAAGTTTTGGCAGTCCGGGAACAAAGAAATGAATCATAGCAAAAGTTTTTCACATTTCTTTCAAAATACAGTGTTAAGGTCTCATTTTCACATATAAGGACTTAGACCAGCTAACATTCCAGCTCCTGAGTACAAATGCCGTGCGATGTTGGATTAAGTGGTTGTGCAAACTGTCTGCAGCATTTACCAGTGCTGCTTCTTGCACGCGCCCTCACATAAAACCACGTGGAGATATATCCAGAGGTGTGAATGTGTGTGAAGCAGATTACTTCCTGTTGCATGCTGCATGTCAGACAGTCCTGACCTAATTCTCCCAAAACTGTCCAAAGTTCATGTGTTTAAGCTTGTTCTGTGTTGTGCTTATTCACTTGTGAATACAGGGCCAGTATTACCGATACCAGCATCAACACTAATGCTTTCAATTATACATAATACTTTTAACTTAGAGTAGTGTGTCACGATTCATGAGGTGAGTCATCATCAGTTTGCAAATTCTGAACACACTTTGCTGACCACTAATTTAATGATTTAAATGAGCTGTAGGCTATAAATAAAACA